TTCAGATGATCTTAGAATAATTTTTCCATAAGGGGCATTGATCTAGAGATAGTTTTCGTCATAACCAAGTGTTTCGAATCCCCAGTTAGTATCAAGGACTCTAGTGCAGTTGTGAGTTAAGCTCCAACCTTAGAAGTGCATAAGAGTTAGTTTTTCCCTAGTATGGGCAACGACCTACAGATTAGGTCCTACGGTTGCTTATCGTGAGCGTAAAGACCTAGTGTCCTTCTCGCCTGTTAAGCAGTCAGTTGAGCAGAAATTATATGTAGTAAGTTGAGCAGCTATTAGAGATAGTCAGTTGAGCAGCAGTTATAGACAATATACTTATTTATACGCATTTGTGATGTGTTCCATCATATTAGATGTATGCTTAGGTTGTGATGTGTTCTATCATATTAGATGTATGCTTAGGTTGTGTTGTGATTTACCATATTAGATGTATGCTGAGGTTGGATGTGCTTATCATATCATATGTATGTTTAGTTCGTGATGTTGCAGTTATAGTTAGACAGTTGGGCAGCAATTATAGTTAGCCAGTCGAGCACCCATTATATATAGTAAGTTGAGCAGCTATTAGAGATAGTCAGTTGAGCGTCAGTTATAGTTGTCCAGTCGAGCAGAAATTATAGACAGACAGCTGAGCAGCGGTTGTATGCAGTCAGCTAAGTAGCAGCTATAAGTAGTTTTGTCGATGTTAATGCTTTGGTTGAACGCCTAATCTGTAGTAAAATGCTCATCATCATATCATTTTCTTCCGAACAATTATGTACTTACATATATGCAGATGTCATGATATGTTATTATATTAGCTGTATATTTCAGTGCCGGTTCCGGCGGAGCACGTGGATTATTTATGCTCACGCCCCCCACTAACCATTTTTCAGGTGACGGTGTCGAGCGTAGAGCGTGAGCCGATGATGTGGTGGTGGTCATAGCAAGGATATTTTTAGTAAACATGTCATGTATATTTTAGCATGTTTGAGTTATTATGTTTTGTTGATGCATGCTTACATTTGCTTCCGCACTCAGTATTTCAGTATCTAGAATTTCAGTCTATGCATGCTTAAATCCTGAGATGTTTAGAGTAATGAATTATACTCGGTTGCATGCCTAGTAGTTTAAAGATATTAAAGATTAAAGATTTAAGATTAAAGTTGAGTAGCATCCCGCATATTAAAGTTAAAGTATTTTCGAAAATTAAAACAGAGTTTTCCATTTATAGCGCGAAAAATTTACTCTGATTTTAGTAAGTCTAGGCGGGGTGTTACATTGTTCCATTCCCATGATGGCTTCATGATCTCTTCCTCTCCTAGATCCCTCGTTAACTTAGAATTCATCTCCACAGTCATAAATTTAGGAATGCCTTCTAAATTGCACAACTGGTCAGGGGGATTAGAAAGTCTAAAAATGGTATCAAAGTATTCCAAGCTAACCTCAAGGATGTCCTGTTCACTCTGACATTTATTCCCATCTCACTATGCCAAGTTATTAAGGTAGTTAACATTCCTCATTGTTTCACTGAGGCTGAAAAAACCTTAACTTTCTATCCCCATCTCTAAGCCAACTAACTCTAGACTTCTGTTTGCAAAAGAGTTCCTCATCCTTATAAGCTAGGTTCAACATATTTCTACAATTCACCCAATGCACCAAATCTTCTTATCCCTTTCCTCTTCTAAAACCTCAAACCTCTGTTTCAAAGAGTCAATAGTGATTTTAAAATTAGACTGAGAATCTGCATTCCACTTCAACAGGGCAATTGTAGTCCTACTGATTCTAGTCTGAATCCCAAAGAGATAAGGGCCATCAAATTCCCTATTCCATGCTTTATCCAACACATCCAAAAACCCTTCTTTGCTAACCCACGTAGCATAAAAAAGAACCTCTTTTTCTGAGAGGTACAAACATTGAGATCCTTCAACATCACTATACACTGGCTAGAAGAAATTACAGAAAAGTGATTAACTTAGCCAGAAGGAAGATTAATAGTCCACTCATGAGAGACAAAGAACCTATCTAACTTCTCTTACACGAAGTCTTTCTCTTTTCTGTTATTAGACCAAGTGAACTGATATCCTACTGAATTCAGTTGAACCCCACCAAGCCCAACCACAAAATTCCTGAAATTAGTGAAACTAGCCTCCTCTTTTTTTTTTTTTTTT